CGTTTTTGGATGTAAACCTATTTGTATTTGAATATATTATACAAAAGGGATTGGGCACAATTTAAGTTGTCCTTTTTTCCCAATTACATGATAAAAAATATATATACAAGATGGCAAATTTGAATTTGATTAATATTCTCAATTAAGTTTAGTGTTGCATAGAGATAGAGAGAGAAAGAGTGAGGGGAGAGAGAGAGAGACGGATAGAGAGCTATAGAGAGAGAGAGAGGGAGAGGATGGGGGGGGGGGGGGGGGGGGGGGGNCGGTCACAACTTGAAAATATTTAATGTGATATCGTGGTAGATATCTTCTCAGACACAGACTGATTCCGTTTCTTTAATAGTTCTTGCACGAATTTATGTTTGGTGGTGTTACGATAGGGCACCATCGAGTTAAAACATATCATTTCTATTCTTACAATTATTGAACTATTTAGGTAATTTTCATCCAAAGTATTCACCGTACATCACATTTTACAGAACCAGTGTTGAAATTTAAGCATTTGAGAAGAACAAGAAGAAGAAAAGATGAATAATATGAGGACAAAGAAGAAGACGGAGACGATGAATAAGAAAAAGAAGAAAAAAGAAGAACAAGAAGAAGACGAGGAAAACAACTTCAGGAGTCGAAAATTGGATCTTTAGACTTTCAATACCCTTTACCAATACCAATATTGGGTGGGGGTGAGGGTGACCAATCTAATAAGCGACATATCAGAAAACGGGAGCGATGTTACGATATAATTTTAATTAGAGTGGGGGGGGGGGGGGGGGGNCCGACGGGAACTGAAAATAACAGAAGTTGTTCTAATCCAGCAAATAAAAACCAATTTCGGTATCTTCATTTACTTGATTACTTCAAGGTGCGGTTTTTACTGATGCAGTGTTGTTATCGACCTTAAATGGGTTTGCATCAGAACTATATAAGTATAATGAGAAAATGTCACATTACACCATGAGGTGTTAAGGACTACTCAGTTTCGACAGACAGATGTCACGGTCAAATTCGCCCAGAAGGTAAACAGGACACAAACACAATGGAATCTTATTAACTGCTAGCCTTCTTTTGTGCAGATTTAATCAAACATGAATGAAAATCCTTAATGTCACATTCCTTTACAACTGTTCACAGCGCGTGTCAACCGATGTCCTATTCGATAAAGCTGTCAATAAAAACTAGCATACTTTCTCTAAAGAGATTTTATCACAACCTCGCCAATCTCAACGGAGTTGACTGCCACTAGGACCACAGGGACATGAGAAAATTTGTTACAGCTATATTTGGACCTAAATTGAAGTTTTCAGCGTGATTGTACACGTTTTAAGTGTTTAAATCAACTTTCGGTAAAAATGACCACCACATTTTTTACCTGAAGTTGATGTATTCACCATAAACGTGTACAATTTGCTACCTTAGTTTAAATCCACTGAAATATAACTGTAACAAATTCGCAGATCCCTGTGACTGGGACCCACAAGTACGCCGTAAATGAGATTTGCTTTAACTCATTCACCCCTGAAATTTCATAATGAACTATCCCAAGCTTTGAATCGGAAGAGTTCAAACGTGTCTTCAGGGGGTGAATGAGTTAATCATTTCACCTTGTTTACCGTTTAGTTGAACTGTGATGTATACGTGTTTGTAGTCGGACAAATATAACTGTATTCGGATCACTGAACCTGCAAATAGCAGTGTTAAACCTCAGTCAGACAGAATTGAGGCCGAGTGTTTTAGCTTTAGGCAAATTAGGCGGTATAATTACAATAACCTCAGTCAGTCAGAATTGAGGCCGAGTGTTTAATTACAATCACACAGACCTCCCATTTCTACGTAAACACGCGTACGTACAATATATACGGTTTACAGCATATAGGCCTACCATTTGAATTGAGGTTTTTCTGATTATTGCCCGTTTAAAAGCCATGATATGTTTTTAAATGTTTTTTCCCAGACTGTTTACAAGCAACAAATTATGAGGTAGGGTTATTTGTTTTCATCCTGGTCAAGGTAATAATATTTATATCTGGTGGCCTTTTAGGTGCGACATTATCGCGGCGCCATATCCATAGAATTCAATATCACTGACTAACCATAGATAATTAAACTTCCCTCTTATTAACCGATAGAAATGGTTGCGTTTATTTGATATAAATAGATCGGTCCCAACAAAACCACAATAGTCTGCCTTCCACTAGTCCTACAGGAGTCGGTACTCGAAACGATCAACGCCGAAACACGCACCATGTCTAAGGGTAATTTTATAATAACTCCATATAGAGACATAACACCATATAGAGACATAACACCTGACAGGCGCGGATTTGGGGGGGG